AATTCATCCATAAAATCTGTCACATAATACTTGGGTTTTTTCCTGAGAGCAAATGCGTTAAGATTTATGTGTCTCCCAATAATGGAATAAATGGTTTTATTTCAGTGGACTTTAAATGGTCATTTGTGAATGCCAGGGGAATTTATCTGCAGCAGCAGTTCCAGCATTATAAATCAGCTTGCAGCTTTTTTCTGCTGAATATGTCACTGCAAACCAACATTTTAATTTTGCTTCTTTGTATGTGTTGCAATGCAGATGTTTCCATGTAATATTCCTCCCTGACCAAACACCAAAAAGTTTGAAATAGGGATGGCCACAGTTTAGAACATGAAGCATTGTAACAAGAAAACACTTCTGTTTTCCTTACTTGAGGAGTATACTGGAAGGAGAAAAACAGGAATATAAGGATCAAAATCTTTAATTCAGTTTTGGATGTGAACATGGAATCCTGGGTGATTGTGACAGGAGAAGGAAAACTGAAGTCTCATGCAACTGTTTGATTCTTACGCTATCTTCAAAGGGATGATATATGCAACAAAGTGTATGTGTGCATGTTGTAATGAAAGGGGAATAACATTGTTAGATGCAGAGTTCCAGTTGCTCTATTTCTGTATAATGCTTTTCTAAATGTTGCTATTTTGATCAGAGATTGCTGAAATACAATTCAGTGGAAAACTAATTTATTAATTTCATTTCAGTCAGATGATCAGTAGAACATTTCTCAGTCTTTTTCTCTATGCACACAGGTAGCTGTAGCTCTCCTGCGTTCTTGAGCTTACCAGCAGTTCTTGCAAAGTGCTTCTGGAGGCTCCAGTCTACATTTCCTAGCGCTTCAAGCATCTAGTGGTGTGAACTCTGTGATTCTGGACATGCAATAATACAGAGGCAAAGATGATTTTTCTCTGCATCAGGATAAACTATTTGAATGTTGCCTAATCAGTTTTGTTGTCTGATGGGTAGAGGGGAGGAAGAGCTGGACCTCATGCCTTACAGGAAAACAGGTGGGACCAATAAGAGGAAAGATGAGCCAAAAATCACACAATTATTTTTTGCTAGCTTAATGGCTGCCTTGTTCTGCCCAAAGGTAAAGACATAGTTATCAGTGCCATTTATCAGGTACACCGTTTTAGTATAAACTTGTTTAAAACAGTGTAGAGCCCCTTTTTCATCTTAATTAGACAGTAACCCATTGATTCCAAGTGGGCCTTCATTTTCTAATTATTTAGTACATAATATAATGTCATTAAACATCTTTGAGTGGACAGGATTGCTCTAAAAGCTTTAGCTCCAGAGGTCTAATATTAGGCTTTTGGCATTCATCCCTGTGTGTGAAAAGCAGTCAGTTTGTTTACCAGGAATTTAGATTCCCATTACTGGGGGAATTAGCAATGAGCTATTAGTCTGATTCAAGCACTTAACAATTGCTGATCATCTCCTCCTAGCCTGGGGATAATGGAGCTGATCAGCTGTAAATGGAAAGTTTGAGGGCCTGTTTTTATGAAGGCACTTGAGAAAGTGCTGCATTCCCTGACCTCTGCTAACCCTTGGGTTTGCAAGAAACCCAGACACCAAGTCACTTCCTGGAGGACAGCTAATCACCTCTAAGAAGAGCTTCCATTAGGGCCTAAACCAAGCCCACCCTCCCTCATCTGAGAAAAGGTTCAGCCACAAAATCCCTGAGGTAGGAGTGTTGAGCTTCTGATTGTATTTACCAGTATCTGTTTTGGTGGGGGAAGCAACTGCAGAATAGTGGCTAGTTTTGATTCTGTAGCAGCATTGAATGGTCCTGTTGAGCCCATGGTGCTGGTTGGCTTCCTGCTTCTCTACTGTTGCCCCAAAAGCTTTGTCTGGTTCATGGACACCTCAAGTTACTTTGAAAGTTTTCTTTCTTGTTCTTGAGTAAAATTGCTACCATTTTAGCAAATAGAGTGATTTTTAGGATGTATTAAAAAAAGATACTTTCGTTCTTCATAGGTGCTGAACCTGTAGCATTGTCTTGTCAGCTTGAAGTTACCTTCAGATTTTAAGAGGCACACCGGTGATCTGTAGCCAGGAATTACTGTTTGAAGTAAAGCTTAGTTTTTCCTCATCTGTGGTACATATTGTGCCCCCCATTTAAAAAGAAAACTGCAGTCAGTTGATTCTTACTGAAACGTACGTATTTGTTGGAGGCAGTGGGAATATTTTTAATGAGGCAAGGATATACTCATTTTGGACTTCCAAATTCAAGGTGTAACCTTGCTGATGACCTCAGGTAAAAAATACGAATGCTGCATTAGACCATGTTAAGGGATCTAAAGCTATGTCAGTTATAGAAGCCACGCCTGAAGTATGTGTCAGTGAGTGATGTCTGTAAAAGTTAAGATTGTTTTGTAAGGGATTCTGTATAACTCTGTTCTTTAAATTTCTTTCCCATAATGCCTCCAGCAGTGGAGACAAGGAACACAGCTTCTATCGAATGCGAAGGAAGCAGGAGACTTCTAGAGTTGCAGGATAAAATTTATTAGTCAGATTTGGCATTGTTTCACACTTTTAAAACAATCAACCTTACAACAATGAGAAGGTTCCCTCCTTTTACGTGCTTGCTGAGAGCTCAAGGTTAAGTCTGTCAGGATAGAGAATTTTTATTATTTTTTTTGTGTTTGGAGCAAGGGTACTCACAGGATGTTGTATTTCAGTTTCTGGGGACTAGAACCTGAGGAGGGTTTGTAAATTCCTCTGTAATATATTTAGTAAGAACTGTTCTGAAAGGATTTAGGTAACTGGCAGTCTTTGGACATCGGCGGTGCTAAGATAACTGAACTGATACTGGCTGACTACTAGCAGTAGTTATACTTGTGCATGCATGTATGCTGTGTAGTTGAATAACTGATATTTGGAGAACAGGTGTTACAAAAGTCTAACTGAAAATGGGTTTGTACTTATAGCAGTGTGAGTACCTGTGAATATTCAGAGATTAATTTTGTTTGCAGTTACTGATGAACAAGCATGAGAGGCGACTGTGTGTACAGAGGTACACATGTACATGAGAAGGGAACATAGGACACCTGGAGAAAACCCCAGATTGACACATTTTGATTTCTTTTCAGTCTATAGTGGGATTTGTCTGAGTGTCAAGCATTTTTCTATGTAATCCAGGACATGACAGGAGGCTGCAACTGCAATCAGTAACTTAGGGGTAAGGGGTTAAAGGTGCACCATGTCCTGAATATGAACAACAAAACGCCGATACCTTTTTCCGTATCAGGCTGTCTTAGAACATGGACGTGGGGCAAGAGGAAAGATCACAGTGCAGATTAGTGGAAGAGGAATGCAGTACACTGTGTGCGTGGTCAGATGGCTCAGGGAAGTCTACTCAAGTATTCTAATAAATAACTTCACTGATATGGGTATTGCAAAGAACATTTTTTTCTTCCTTGTAACTCCACTGAATTCTGGAGATGACAGACAGCATTACTCTAGACAACAATCATGACTTGTTTCTAGTCTAACCATATGGAGGATGGTCTAACATAGATACTAGAATATGGTAATGTGGACTCTTCCCATTAAAGACTGTTAGCAAACACATGGACACAGTGCTGCCTCTTGGTCCAAACAGCCATACTGTAGTAGACATGAGACAACATGAGATTCTGTAATAAGAAGGTGTCTGACAGTGACTGAAAGCCACCGCATATTATCTGGCTGGTGCTTCCCTGGCAACAGATAAACCACAGGGTAAAAATAAATACGCCCATGTTCTGAATATATTCAAGATTGTAATATTGTCTGGCTGTGGGTAGTACTGTTCAGATCTGTTTTATCTCATAGAACAAGCAAGGGGCACTATTGTGTGCATGGAGGAGCTGCTTTGAGATGAGCTTCTGCTATCCTGAAAGCCTAGGCTGGCTGATGAGGCACCTCTTGAACACAATTGATTGTGGACTATTAACCTATGCTCAACAATCAATATTCACTTAACACCACATTTTAACAGGCAAATGCAGTACAAAATAACAGCAGTTACACAGTGCACACATTTACACTCAGAATAAACAGGTCATGAAATAGAGTTTGGCAGAGATTGGACAGGCATTGTGGCAGGGGACAGTGATAACTGGAATATGTTGATGTACAAGGTAGTTACAGCTCCCAGAGATTTTCACAGCTTGAATATCCCAGGGATTTTGTGGTCAGTGAGCTATATGCATTCTCTAAGTGTTACTAAGGTTTGTCCTGAGGCCAGGCAAGGTCATCCTTTGCTAGATAAGACTAAATTTACTGGGGTTGAGCACAGAAATCAATTCTGACCCGCAAAATCCAAGTTTGTTGTTAGCTGTGACGATTATATATATGTATGTGTATACATGTTGCAAAGAGCAAACCACAAAGGAGCAAGAATATAAAACTGTAGTGTCCTTGATCTGGAATGGTATTTTTCATACTTGAAATGAATTTGAAAAGGGAACTGAACATAATCCAGAACTGGTGTTTACCAGAGACTTTATGAGTATGTTTATTGAACTTTACTTGCTACCCACCCTGGAGCACGGACTTCTGGCCTTTAGGATGATGTGCTGTACTCCATGCCTTGACAGGCTTGAGGAGTGGGCCAGTGTGAACCTCCTGAATTTCAGCAAGGCCAAGTGACAGGACATGGGCCTGTTTAAGGTTTAGAGCAAAGCCACAGAAATTATGAGGGTTGGAGCACCTCTCCTGCCAAGAAAGGCTGAGACCTCTGGCATGGTTTGACCTGGAGAGAGAAAGGCTCTGGGGGGACCTTACTGAGACCTTTCGATATATATAAAGGAGGATCATAAGAGAAACTATTTAGCAATGCCTGTAGAAACAGGGACACTGTACTGCACTCTTAACCTGAAACAGAGTAGGTGTAGATTAGATATAGGGAAAAAATTCTCTACTATGTGAGTGCTGAGGCGCTGGCACAGGGTGCCCAGAGAAGCTGTGGCTGCCCCATCCCTGGCAGTGTTCAAGGCCAGGTTAGACACAGGGGAAAGCGTCCCTGCCCATGGCAGGGGGTTTGAACTGGATGAGCTTTAAGGTCCCTTCCCACCCAAACCAGTATGTGATTGTATGCCTGAGGAAGAACTCCAGAACATGGGGCAGTAGGGTGCATGGTGTTGGGTCCCTCCCTGCAGTCAGAATCTAGTGCTGCAGAAGTTCTGTCAGAACTCAGACCTTTGTTTTAAAGCATTAGCCTGACTGTTACTCAAAATGCTAACATGGCAGAAGCAGTGGTGGGCACCAGATCTGCAGAGTTCAGTACAAACTGGTGGGGGAAAATGGGGTGGAAGGTGGGGAAGTTTTCAGTGACTGCCGTTCTGGGTTAAGGCTTTTCCATTCCTCTTTTCTGTAAGCTTTCTGTCTTCCAAAGGTAAATCCATAGTGGGAGGTGCCTGGATATGAAATAAAATTAGTAATATGGGAAGGAAAGATGCCATTTCTGCCAGATTAATGTGGGCTCAGCCACAGGGGCAGGAACAGAGACAGGGATGGCCAAGAAACAGCAGCTCCAGAATACACTGAGGAGGCCATAGGCATACTGCTGTGTTTGGAGATGTCTCGCTGTGTCTTCCCTTCAGCCACCTGGGAAATGAAAAGGAGGAATGAATCCCAGTTAGACACATTTATGCTCAAATGTCTGGCTGCAGAGCTTCCAGTTCTGAGCACTGCTGAGAGATCATAGGAAACTCCTGTAGCCAGGAAGCATGGCCTCCTGCTTCAACTAATCTGTGGGGGGAATAGCACAAGGTCCAAGGGTTCTGTATGCATGTGACATTCCTCACTTTGGTGTCCAAAATCACACCTTTCCAGATCCAAGGCTTCTCAACTACTGCCTCAAGGCTGCTTGACTCGCTGCTTTGTGAAGGCAACAAAGCAATGCATACCTGGGACATTTCTGAAGCAAGAGATGTGCTGGCACTGTCTCCTTGGAAGCTTAGGGAAGATGAATAAAGGAAGTCTTCCTGTCTTTCTAGAGCTGTCTGTTTCAGGTGCATTTGAGACCAAATCGCATTTTCTGCAAACAGAAGTAAAGCAAGAGTCTTACTGTGCTTTTCTCTGCACATCTTGGAGTCTAGTGAGCGGAAGTCGAGGGAAGCTGTTAGCTTCCAGACAGGCTCTGTGGCTTCAGTTCAGAAAATACGTATTCTCTGTTTAGTGAAGGGCCTGTTAGTTTGTGGGTTTACTTGTGAGGCTGAGCCAACTGCCAAGCCAATTTGCACTGTACTTAAGAACCTTTAGGTCCCTCTGGGACTCTCCCGAGTGTCTGTTTGGTAAGGCACATGTATGTAGTAACTCAGATGGGATGTTTATATTGTAGGTGTATCTACAGTGCTGGGTGTAAGGCTTTTCTATAAAACAGGAGGTAGATTTAAATATTAATCATTTATGTAATGATGCTGGTTTCTCTGATATCCTTTGGGAGCTTTTACAAACATAAAATATTTAAATTTTATTACAGTCTGTTGCTAAAATGCTAGGGAGATAACAGACTTAGGAGTACATAGTTGAATGTAACAGGATTTTTGTGTTGTGCTGCTGAATCTAGTAACAGGGGCTGTGTCAAGAGCTATTTATCCTCACCAAGTGAGGGCCAAGGAAGGGGGAGGAAAGGAAGCCAAACTGCAGAATCCTGGTACACTGATGTGGTTACTCAGCAACCTATGGATACAGCATGTCTGACCTCCCCTTGTGAGGTTTGTTTTGGTTTTTTTTTTGCAACCCTGTCATTTGAATGCTGTTTGGAAATAGCTTCATGGTGTTCGAGACAAACAGAAGGTCGCCAAAAGATACAGAAGCACTTCTGAGAGGAGATCCAGGCTGGTCCCATAGGTTGGATACGGGACCATGGAGACACTGCAGAAGAAGGCAGAACTATACCCAAGAACAATGCAACATAGGATCTTGAAATCAACAGGATTTGAATTTCCCTGTCTGAGCTGTCCCTCTCATTCTGGGATATGATTGATGCTTACCAAGGCATTTGTTGTTCTCAAACATGCCAAGTATCTGGTCACACTTCTCCTTCTCGTTGCCGCTGCTCTCGCATGTGCACCACAGGGATACCTCCGCACTGGAGTTGCTGACATAGTTGGGTGTCATGGGTGTGCCTGTCCCAAAGTGCCAGAAACCAGAATGAGTATTTACTTACCAGATGAAAGAAGAATAATGAGACCCACTGTAATAAAGGGAATGCTGCCCTCAGGAGATGCCAGGGAGCCCCTGCAAGGTGACCCAGGCCTGGTCAATCTACATGAAGTCTGCTGGGCTGTGAAAAAGTATGGAAATTGCTACCCCTGCCTCAGGCAATCTGATGGTGAGGTGTGCTGATAGCTGGAGCTGGTGCAAGCATCAGATAGGATGCAAAGCTGCAGAGACTCGGCTGCAGAACTGGCATATGGCAGCAAAAGGTGCTCTTGTTTCTGGCAACACTGTGAGGCCAAATGCCTTTTGCCACAAGAAATGCTCCATGCTTGTGGGGTGCTATTCAACCAGTTTATTTGGCACAAAACCATCAAAGACCAGAAGGTATAGTTTAAAGCTCCTGAGATACTGCTGCTCTTTACAGTTCCTCTATTGAGACACTCTGAAAAAGTATTAGCAGGTTGGCAGTGAATGCCTAGAACCAAAGATGACTTTTCTCCTAACACCTGGTAGTGCCGTGTTCTATCTGGCTCTGAGAAGAGGGCTCTTTTTGGGCTGCATTTAGCTCAGAAGCAAGAGGGAGCACCAACATCAATTATTCACTGGTATACTGAGCAGCATCAGTGTGCCTGCAAGTTTGTGTCCTACAGGCACCCACCCTGTATGTTCCTGTGGCTGTCACTTACCAATCATCCCCATGTAAGCCTGCAGGCATGCAGCATGGCTGTGCTGAGAGCAACCATCTGGAGATGTGTCTGCAGGTTGACAATTTTGTTGGAAGTCAGCCAGTCGGGATCTGTAGGAAGGAAAATGAGACTGTCAGTGTCTATGCTGTTCTCTTCTCTTGGCTAATGTCCACTGCTGCTGGACCTACTTGCAGATATGGTCTTCTAAGCAGGAGTCCAGAAGCCAGAGGCAATTGGGTTTGGCGCTATACTGGAAGGAACAATTTGGAACAATGGTTTTCCGGCGTCGTTCTCCACAAAGCTCATCTTGACATGGACAGAATAGGATCCTTTTGGTGAAATCCTCAGGGACTTTCTCAAAGAAATTCCTCAGCCCTCTGTGGCATTTTCGACGGTCACACATGTCCTCACTTCCTGCTCCTTTGGTGCAGATAGAAGCATATTCTGTGCGCAGACGAACACACTTCTTGCTCAGATTACAGACATGAGTTGCTTTTACGCATGGATTTGTTGCATCTCTTGCTAACTGTGAGCCTAGAAAACCAAAAGAAATCCAGAAACAATGAAAGAAGTCTCCAGAAGAGATTCTGTGTGGAAATAGGAGTAGCCCTTACTTGATGGTCAGATTGGGAATATCAAAAAGAACAAAGCACATTAGTCCTGCTGTGTGCCTGCAGTGTGATGTTGCAGTTGTACTAGTTACAAAATCATATTTTTTGTTGGTTCATGTTAAGGTGTTTGTTTCAGTGAGTGCATCATTGTGAGTTATTCCCTGTTTCATGGACCTTGATCTGTGGCTATATTTACACTTGTTAGGGGGGATGAATTTAGGCAAGTATCCAGAACAGGCATTCATCTGATTAAAGAGGCCATTACCCCAAATTTCTTAGTAACTTTCAGCCCCTGAAAAGATAAGAAATGACAGCATTATATCACATAACCATTACAATCCTTACCTGATAACAGAGCTGCCAGTTTATTATAGTCTGTCTTCCAGTGTTCTTCATTTGCTGGATTCTCATAGGGAGAGGATTCCAAATTGAAATAACCTGGGCAAGATACAAGATATTTTATGCAGTGGAAACATGGTTTGGGGTTTTTTCTTTCTTTTTTTCCCTCTTTAATTTTTTTCTTATTTGCGCCTGGCTGTTTTCTCAGGCTGGAGTTCAGAGATGCTCTGTTTTGCTCAAAGCCAAATGCCAAGAATAGTTCTGCTGGAGAAGCCATGTAAAAACAGTGTTACATTTTGTCATCATTATTTCCTCTGGCTGGAATTTGGTCTGTGTTGTCATTTGGGCCTTTTCAGCCTCAGTAGTAGTGAGAGGCCAAGTAGAAGCATCCCACTGAAGCTGGAGAGAAGCAGCATGCTCATGGATGCTGTTAGTGTGTGTAATAATAATGTGTTGTTTTCAGTGATGACAGACTCACATTTTGAGGTGATTTTCATAGCACTCTCCCCTCACAGCACCAAATCTAACTGCCTCAGAGTAGCTATCTTTGTCTTTTGGGGTCTCTGGTGTATTTGAAGGCCAGCCCAGATCAGTTCTCTCTGCTTATCAAACAGAGCAGTAGTGAATTCTCTTCACTGGGAGGTGTGGCTCGAAAATGAGCTGCACTGTTGGGAAGTCACCTTTTGCCATTGTTTCCAGATGGGGGGCAGGGGCGAGCCTCACTAGTACCTTATAAATTCCTATTATTTCATCTCACCATCTGTCATGCTGGAATGAATGGTCCAGAAAACACGCAAGCAGTGCTCCTCTCTCTTCATACGCCGGTGACACTTGCAGTGCAGCAAAGAGCTGTTCCCGAGGTCTAGCTCTGCATTCAGACATTGGACCCTGCTATCATGATCTAGTGGAAGGAAGCGAGTCTTAGCCAGGGCACAGTTCTCCAGGATCCTATAGGTGCCATTGCAGGTAGAGTCCAAGAGGCACAGTTGTTCTGCTGCTATGCAGTCGCTCCTTGACAGAGCCAGGAGGTCTCCTGGTCAAGTAGGGAAAAGATTAGGATCACAGTCATGATGGATTCCACACAAGCACCTTGTCACTGTTCTGTAGGCATGCTTTATTCAATGAGGACTCCTCTCAAGAGGCAGAACTGGCTGGGGTCTCTCATATGGAGTAGTAGGGAACAAAAGCTGTCTCCATTTAGAAACAGAAGGATGAATATTAATGTATGAAAGAGGGAACGAAAGGTTAAAGAAAAGTTGCAGAAATAATTTTGTTTAATAAAATGTTTTTTAATCATCCTTAACTCTTCAGTTTGGCCATGATCAGGGATGGCTCTGTGTTTTATGGAGTAGTAAATCCCCATGGAAACCTTGGGGTTGATAAGGCCTGCTCTGAAGAAGCTCTTCTATCTATTGTCTATGGGTAATGAAAACTGCAGTGCAATAAACACATAGTAACACCATGCTGTGTGCTGTGAGTCAGTGCTGCTGCACTTGCTAAGTATATACTGGTCATTAAGAGATGTACTGAGAAAGCCATTTGTAGGGTGTAAAAACAACTGCTTTACTGAACTTGGAAACTTAGGAATAAGAATGTGTATTTTTTGCATACTAGAATAAATCCTTGTCATAAGATGCAAGTAGCTTCGTATAGCAGTGCTGATGTGCAATTAATTCAAGTACACAGGACCCAGTCCCTGAAATCCCTGTACAGAATGCTGGGATGCAGGCTTGGTCTGCTGTCTTTCATCTCTTGGTTGACTGTGAACTCTAGCTGTGTGTACATATATTTGCATAGCACAGGCATTGATTATATATAGACACACACATACACACGCCTCCTTTCCCTGCATGACGATATTGCTTGACTGGTTTTAAGAAAGGACTGTGCTGAGCCGTACATCTAATGTTCTTTGGGTACACGATATTACCTGTCACTATCTTGGTCCGTAGGTGCTGTAGTACTACTTCAGTCTGCCTTCACTACAGATTAGAACAAAATCTTAGTGTGCCTCTGTACCTGGTATACCACCTTCACCATCTAACTTGTTCTCTCACTTCCTTTACTTTTGCTGGCTTCATCAGTTAATTTGCTGTAAGCCATAAACAGCACAACTGTGTGCCAGTCTGCTTCTCAAACCTACTCCTGCAGCCCTGTAATACTCTCTAGGTGTCTCCAACTCACTTGTACAAATGTCTTTGCTTTTCTAGCAACTTTTACTGTATGTTGTTGTTTATCTGTTACATAGAGGCTGTGACTTTGTAAGCTCCCTGAAAAGCAAATCTCTCATCAGAGAGAAATTCTGACTTCTACAGACATCATCTAATAGCTATGCATTATCTTAAGCCCTAACACAACTTAAAGATAATAACTTCACAGATTATGATTATTTATACCTTAGAAAAAATGGATAGATAATACTATATCCCTTTATTCTCCCTTTTCACTCCATGTCCTGCCATATATATATATATGTGTGTGTGTGTGTGTATTAATTTCATGCCCCTGGTGCACCACGCTGTTGGAAGAGGATTACAGAAGGGAAACCTATCAAGGAAGCATTAGGACTGAGACATGGAAGACTGAGGGACATCTGTTGTACTCATGTGGCTGCAGGTGTTGCTGAGATCTCAGTGCCATGGCCCATTTTTAGAGCAGTCACTGTGATACTCAGCAGCTGCAGATTTTTCTGAGAGTAAAGCACTGACATCTCATAGCCACAGTCTAGGAATGGTTCAGAGCAGTTCCGTAATTTCTGCATTTCTAGTCACATCAGCCATGGAGACTGCACAGGAGGTGAACTGGAGAGAGGAACCGTTTCTATCCCTGGCTCTTGTGACTTGGCAGTAATAAACGGCAGAGTGGAGCAAACTGCTGCGAGTCTGCAGGAGTTCCTCGCTCTGGTCTTTGCAGACTGAGCCTCACTTCAGAATACTACCGGCCTGCAGCACTCGGGAGGGGATCAGGAGGATGGGTGGTTAAAAAAGGCCCTCCACGGAGCCCGTGTGAGGGGTGCAGCCAGAGCCGGCGCTCAGCCGGTGCCTCTCCTGCCGCCAAGGGGTCAGTTCCCGCTGCCCCGCTCCGCTGCCCGGAGCCGAGCCCGTCGCCGATGCCAGCCCCAAAGACGAGCACCCCCTCCCCGGCACGTCCCTCCGCTCCGCTCCGCTCCCGCCGCATACGCCACTCGCGTTCTGGGTCACAAGTAGCAGCGCGCCTTTCTCGGCTGGAAGGCGATTCTGCCCCCGGGGCAGCAGGGCGTTCGCCGTCCGTCGCAGCCGGTGGCCGGGAAGCAAGGCTGGGGCAGCGGCCGAGAGCCGCGACCGCAGGACGCACTGTGGGTCAGCCCAGCACCGGGGAACACCGGCCCGGGACCCCTCTGCCGCTTTCCCGCAGGGCAGGGGATGCGGATGGTCCCTCGGGGCGGCGGAGCGGGTCCCACTCTCCCCCCCGGCGGGAGCGGGACGAGGGACACGCCGTCCTCCCAAACCCGCCCCGTCCGCCGCCCCACGCTCCGGGCGCTGTTACCTGCTCTGGAGAGGAGCAGCCCCAAGAGCAGAGCGAACCCCATTGCCGGAGCCCGCGCCGGCGACCGGTCTCTCAGAGCGCTGGGGCCGCAGCTCACATGCTGCGCGCAGCCCCGTCTCAGCTCTCCGCCGTCTGCCCCGCGCGGCTAGGCTCGGCACGGCACGGCACCCACCGGCCCCCCCCGTCCAGGAGCGGACGGCGAGCACCGCCCCGCAGCCCGGCCCGCCCCCGGGACCTGACTCGGGGGTCCGGCCCCAGCAGGGGCCGCGGCTGCGCTAGGAGCAGCGGCAGGGGTTCGCGGGGTGCTGCGCTGCAGAGCGCTGGAGGCGCCGCCGAGGAGGCAGCTGCGAGCGCTTTCCAAAGGGGAGCTGCGGGAAGGGGCTGCTCGGTTCGTGTGCGGACCCACGGCCCCTGCCGCACTGGGGTCAAGGCTGGGCCTGCGCAGGGCAAGCACCCGCCGGGGTGCACGGGGTAAAATAAAGTCTCCAGAGGAGTGCTGCTTTGGTCCGCAGGCGGGATGAGCGAGCTTTGTTCGGCGTCTTCCTCCGAGCTTTGTTGTGGAGGGTCTTATTTCAGCGTCTTACCTGTGCTGGCTCTGTCGTGGCTGAGGGTGGCATTTCTGAGAGCCTGCCCGGCATTCAGGCAGCCGTGCTTTTTGAACAGATCCTTCTCTTTATATACTACAGTCAAATTCACCAGCACAAGAATAAGTAGCAGTCCGACATGTGCACATCAAACATCAGTGTATGAAAACGATTAAACCTTTTGTAGGTCGACTGTTTGCACATATAGAGAGACCTACCCCACCTGCTTGAAAAGCCCAAGAGAAAGGGTAATAACCGTGCAAACACAGTAAGCATTCACAGTCCAGTTCAGGGATGCCCTCCTCTTCTTGGGGTTTGAACAAGATTAGTCCTGCTTCCTGCAGGGAGCTGCTGAGAGAATTCTTCCAAAAGTGGTCAAGTTGTCCCCAAACACTGAGAGCTCTTACTTCATGCTTGAGGAGAGAAAAAGTGTTCTCACCATAGCTTGAAGTTTAACCAAAGTCTGGTATTTGGAGGAGATTAAAGAAAATGATGGATGGGATGGAGCCTTTTTGACTTTGTAGTTGTTTGCAGTTATCATTTAGGAGGAGGAAACAGGGTAGTTAGGCTGAAGAAAGAGTAGAGGTTTTCTTGTAATGCTGACATGTAAAAACAAGAAGTGGCTTGGTCCTGTGAACTTCACTATGTTCTTGTCAGAAATTACAAGATTAAACGAGTAGATCAGAAAGTTTTTAATCCTGATCTAAGTTATAAATGTGGTGCAGTCAAGCTCTGTTTGGATTATTACTACAGCTGGAGTGTTAATTACAGTAGTGTGCAAGTTGTGAGGAATAAGAAGCAGGAGAAGAGATGTTGCCTCCAGTGTCATGGATTTGTAGGCTTGCTTTGAGACTGTAGGAGGATCTTCTCTATGCAGATTGAGCAATTGTTAGAAGGGAAGGAGACTGGCCACTGCCATTTATACTCCAGGCTGCCTGGCAGTAAACCCAAGCAGAATGATCCAGTGCACAGCAGTGGGAGATGATAGCTGCCCAAGCACCCCTCATTACCACAGTACTGGTAGTACACAAAGCTGATGGGACGTGATACTGACTTTCTTGGTACAGGAGATGATGATAGCCAGAGGAGGCAAAGCTCTGCTAGACCTGACTGTAGCTGACATGTGTAGCTCCTTGAGAATGTTAATATAAAGGGCTGTCTGGGTGGTCATGATCGTCAGCCTGTGATCTTTCAGTCCCTTCTGTTTTGCTGGTTTTATGCTTCTAAGCAAAAGCAAATTTCAGTAAACTCGGTGAACTTACAGCCAGCATCTCACAGGGAAGAGCTTGGAGAAGGGAAAGCAGTGTGTGTGCCTTGAGAAAGGGAAGAATATAAACAACTGATCTTAACATCAAGCTCTAGGAAAATTCTGGGATGCATAACCAATCTGTTAGCATGTGGAAAACAATAGGTTTGCTGTTTGTCTCCCAGGTGGATTTGTCAAGGACCAATACAATTTCTTTTACAATAGGGTAACAACTTTTGTGGGGAGGAAAGAACAAGAAGAGGTCGTGTGTACTGGGGATCTTTAAGAACAGCTTTAGACTAGTTGTTCCAGCTTGGTACAAGAGAAGGATCTTTCAAATTCATTTCCCGACTGGTTTTCTGATTCTGTGATTATAAATCTTCACCCAAAGCCCACTGAAATGGTTCCTTAGCTCAGCTTTGGATTATGCTCTGCAGCAAACATAAAAGGAAAGGGAAGATTCTTCCTTCCATGTTAAAGCTGAATGCTGTAGCAGCGCTTTCAGGTTGCCTTGCCAAGTGGCCAAGTAGAGGAACCCTGATGTAGTGTTTGGTGAAGGGTTGGCCAGGTCCCTACTCTTTACTAGGCAGCAGAGCCTGTGAGGGCAGTGCAATGGTTCCTTTTTTGAGTTTTGCATGCTTATATACATATCTTTCTTGGGACCCATAACATACAAGGTTATTTGGTTGTTTCTCCCTCCCCACACACATGCAGAGCAGCACTGTAACCTCATTATAGGTCTCAGAGAACTGGGTAATTACCAGTCTCTCACAACCACAGCTTTCATCACTCTTTCTATTTGAAATTGTATAGGCCAGCTCTGACCTATGGGGGTCATCTACCAGTGTAATATGTAATATCTCAAGAATCAGTTTCTCTAATTCTGTGCAAGGTCCAGGCCTTTGACCTTCTTAAACAGCTGCAGAAACAGTGATCAACTCTGATCTGATTTCCTCAGCTTTTAGCACCTATTCCATGGTTTATGTTATCTTTGTTGCTCTTTGCTGGTTCATGTAGGTCCTGGTTGATTTGGGGTTACTGATGTCAGCAGATTCTGTGATGGACAGACAACACCAACTAGGGCAGGAGCGCTGATCTGCTGGGGGGTAGGAAGCTCTGCAGAGGGATCTGGCCAGGCTGGATTCATGGGCCAAGGCAAATTTTCTAGGGTTCAACCAGGCTCAGTGCCAGGTCATGCACTTGGGCCCAACAACCCCCTGCAATGCTCCAGCCTTGGGGAAAGGCAACTGGAAAGCTGCTCATGGAAAAGGAGCTGGGAGTGCTGATTGATGGAGCTGAACATGAGCAGCTTCTGCCCAGGCAGCCAGGAAGGCCACCAGCATCCTGGCCTGGATCAGCACCAGTGTGGCAGCAGGTACAGGTCAGAGAATGTCCACACCTTGAATCCTGTGTTCTGGGTCCCTCACTGATGAGCACTGGTGAGTCCACACCTTGAATCCTGTGTTCTGGGTCCCTCACTACAAGAGAGACATTGAGGTGCCAGAGCAGGGCCAGAGAAGGGCACCAGAGCTGGAGCAGGGCCTGGAGCACAAGTGTGATGGGGAAGGGCTGAGGGACCTGGGGGTTTCAGTCTGGAGAAGAGATAGTTCAGGGGAACCTGATCACTCCCTACAACTTAGATCAGCCAAAGAGAGCAACTGCTTTTACAGCACTCACGGGAACTCTCTTCCTACCAGTATGTTACAGACAATATGACCACTACGGTTTCCTCCCCTGGAATATTGCTGTACTTTACTTTCCATTTTTGTTTTACCATCTACGAGTCTGGTTTCTCTGGTCCTTGCAGTGCAGATTACCATCCAATCTGCCTCTACAGGGAAATACTAGCACCAAACCTCATGTTCTTGAAATTCATTGGAGCCATTACAGTTCATGTTCATATTGCTGTCAGGCTATAAAGGACTTGATACAGTGCTTGAAAGTTTTTCGTCTAACATTAAGAACTCTTCAGCAGACTTGGACACACAGCAGGCCACGTCTGTGTTGTATCTTATCATAGGCTCTGTGTGAGGTGCACACTGCAAACAAGAAATCCAGCCTGGAGAAGAGAAGGCTGCATGGAGACCTCATAGCAGCCTTCCAGTATCTGAAGGGGGGCTATAAGGATGCCAGGGAGGGACTCTTCATTAGGGACTGTAGTGATAGGACAAGCGGTAACAGGTTCAAACTTAAAACAGGGGAAGTTTAGATTGGATATAAGGAGGAAATTCTTTCCTGTTAGGGTGATGAGGCACTGGAATGGGTTGCCCAGGGAAGTTGTGAATGCTCCATCCCTGTCAGTGTTCAAGGCCAGGTTGGACACAGCCTTGGGTGACACGGTTTAGTGTGAGGTGTCCCTGCCCATGGCAGGGAGGTTGGAACTGGATGATCTTAAGGTCCTTTCCAACCCTAATTATTCTATGATTCTATGATTCAGTTATGCTGGTGCTGTTTCTTTATTGGTTGTTCCTCTCTTTGGTGGCAGAAAGATCCTTATGGGTTCTGCAGGATAGTTTGTATTTCCTCTTCTGTTCAATAGCAATGGACAGGCCTTTCCATTACAGGGGAGCCCTTTTCAACAAACGTTTACTTTACCTTTACAGCACAAATCTTTAGTTTACCTCTGAAATGACTGTATAATCACTGTATTAAATCAAGTAGCAGTTCCAGTGATGTGCTAGACATTTCTTCTCTACATCTGCCACTGCCACAGCCAGTAAAGAGTGGGTTTGACCAAACAAGTATCTTGTTTGGAGTATTTGCCGAGTTGTACCTTATTTTGTGTAATAATAATCTTACGAGGATTATAGCACACTGCTGCTTTTTATCAGGATTTGGTCTCTACAACCCTTCATGAGTCAAAATCAGAGCACTATACTCTGCAAAGCAGGAGATACTGAGGCTCTGATAGCTGACCCCTGGTCATTTGTTAAGGGGTACTATCAAAGTACTACTGCAGGAGGCAGCACAGTGTGCAAACACTTCTCTACCTGGGCTAATATTTGTAGCACCACACTCTGCTCTTTACAGGGCTAGAGACAGACAGCAGACACTCACAGCTCATATTAACACCTGTACATTACAGAAATATTAACCTAATGCAAACAGCCCAGCAGAAGTTAATGTCTATATTCATAGAAAACCAAATAAAAACCACTTTCATTTCCTAGTGTGAGTGCTAGTGCCCTGAACTGCTCTGGCTGCTCATTGCCAGAGAAGGTTCGGGGATTTGACATCCACAGCAGTACCCATAGTTTTCTGCTTCTTTACCTGTGGTATCTGGCCACTTCTGGCTCAGCTAGTTTTATTCTTTTGTTCCTAGGAATAAAGCATTCAAAACTGCTCTTGGATTTTAGCCTCAGTGTGTTTCA